GAAAGTTCTAGAAGCCTTGTTTGGCTTCCTCTTTGACTGGCTGCATTTTCCTGGTGATGGAAGATCTCTTTCTGTTGGATCGGAGCTGAAGGTGACCAGCTCTGTGCCCATCTGGAGATTAAATAGGTCTCAGGCACATCTGTCACCAGGAGGGAGAAAGTCAGTCTCGAAGGCCCATGTGGCCTGGTCCAAAAGGCCCCTCAGGTCTCAGCTACTTGCTGAGCTTGGATTTTTCCAACTATTTTTGCAAGGTGGAATTTAATTATAAAAACAAAACAAAACGAGAGACTTGTCAGGAAAGTGGAAAGGGCTGGAACACAGAGGTTCTTTTAGCTGACGCTGATCCCTTGAACTGGCTTACTTTATGAGAAAAACTGGGCCAGGTCTGAGTGTGATTTATTCTCTACTTCCTGTTAGAATTAGAATCAAATGGATTGCTTTAATATTTTCGTCTCTCACAAAGAAATGTAATAAATCTAAGAAGCCTGCATGTTGTTAATGTTCAGGCCTAAGCTTTCTCATTTATCCTGTGGAAGATATTGCTGGTTGCTTCCCCAATATCCATTCCCTTCTTCTTTAACAGAAAGAATGATGTGCTGAGGTGAAAATACTCCTATCCCCAGACTCCTCTATATGGGAGCAGCCATGCCACCCAGTTCTGGCCAGTGATATTGCAACAATCTGTGAAATGGGGCTTCTGATGAAAATGGACAGTTAGGTAATATGGGAATTCTGTGCATCTCCCTTTATCTGTCTTTTTGGTTGGAGTGTGGACACGATGGCCAGAGCAGAACAACCACCTTGCAACCAGAAGGAGTACAGCTCCACACTAAGCATGGTAGAATTAAGCAATTTAAAGGGGTGAAGATCCTTGATCAGTTATAACAATCCTTGACGACTTGACTCAAAATTTCTTCTCAGCTGAGAAAAATAAAATCCTTTTGGTGCAACTTTGTATTTGGATTTCTCTTAAATGCACCTAAATGCAATCTTACTCAATGCCCTTTCAAAGCACACACTTCACATTATCACTCTAAATCAAGGAAGACTTTTTTCCACCTGGTAGATAAGAATCTCTCTTCTCATTTTACAGCATGAAGACATTGAAGTTATGGGAAAGCATACAGTTAGGAACTTCCCTTTTGGTGGGTTAGGTTCTCTCAGTCCTTGGCTCATGGAACTCAGAACTCATCTGCAGCATTTGGGCCAGTATGACTTCCTCCTTGAAACTTTCCCCTCCCTGCCTCCCTCCTTCCCCCTTTCCCTTCCTTCCATGGTACTCTTTTCTCATGCCCTTCCCTCATTTTTCTGCCCACTTTCTAGTCTCATGTGGGTCCCTCTTCTTCTGCTGCCCTCTAAGTGCAGATGTGCATAGGGTTTTGCACACTCCTCTATATACCAATCTTGCATCTACTCAAACTGTTCATGGTCACTTAGAATTAGACTTGAAATGCTATTTATAGACATTGGGAGAAGACATCCAAGAATAGAAAAAGCCACTCACAAGGCAGCACATGCAGTTTGATCCCTTTAAGGCAAAACAGGAGAAGAATGGAGATATAAAAATATATCTGAAAGGAATAAAGAAGACATTAACACTGGATGAATGGTAGAATTAAGGATTTAAAGTCCTTGATTCAAGTGGCAAATTAACCCTTTAATCCCTAGGGATTAAGAGGTAGTAGTAATTGCAACAGTGGATTTTGCAGTGATTTCCAAATTATTTTCCCACCTTTACTCTACAGATAACCTTCTTGTGAAGTCATTCATTCTTTCATTCAGTTTTTGTATATGTGCCAGTATGGTGTGAGGTGCTGTAGATACACTGTTGTGAAAAGAAAAGCCCTTACCACTAGGTACAAGCAGCTTTCATTTGCAATAACTGGGCATACACTACTGTACTTTCCCACAGAGAGAGAAAGGGCATCATTTGAGAAGAGATATTCCAAGGAAAACACAGAATGTGTTAGGCAGCAGCTCCCCCTGCAATCTGTCCTTACTAAATAAGCAGCCATTACGCCCAGGACCCCAGCTGTCATTGCTCCTCCATCCTCCCCAGAGACTTCTGGCTGAGGGGCAGTTTATGTTCGAAGCTCCCAGAATTTTCTGAGCCTCCATGAGGTAGCATCCCCAGGATGTTTTCCAGCTTCTCTAAAGCACCCCAAAGGGAAAACTTTTGAAAAATGGGGAGGATGTCCTCACACAAATGTGAGAGATTGTTGTCACACAGCTTTGCTCCATTCAGAATCTTGACCTCTCACCATGGTTGTCTTTGTCCCTGTCCAGTTCCAACTACTTAATCACTTGGACAAAATAGCTTTTGTTTGCACACAGAATCAGGACAGAATCAGACTCCTTTGCTATTAACACCAAACCTATAGCCCCAAGGGCCATGGCCTTGGCTTTCCCCCTCCTACCGTAGCAGCACCATTGTGACCACTCTTCCATTTGCTCACTGGAGTATGCTTCCTGCCTCTTCATGGATCTCTTTCCTATCCTCTTCTGGATCTTCAGCCTTTCTCTACAATAGCTTGGTTTCTTCAGGATTTAAACACACTAAAAGCTTCTTCCAATTAGGGAATCATGTTCAGTGGATTGCTATTTTAAATTTTGCATGAGGAGGGAGCTACATGCTGTTCGATTTTCATCCTGAATATCTAACAAAGTGCTGGGCCTTCTGGGGCTTGCAGGCATGTTAGTGGCTGCACTTTCCCTGAGACCCTATGGGAAGTCTGCAAGATATTTTCCATTCTGCAGCCACCTCCCTGGTGGAGAGGCAATATGTCTCTGGACAGATAGATGCCTGATTCCTCATGTGTGGAATACTAGCCAAGTCTTGCTACTGACATGTGTCCAGCTGCTTGTGGGCAGCACAGATGGTGTCAAACAGAGCCAGCTGGGAAGTGTGCAGAGTGCCATTTTCTGCCCAGATGCGGCATTCAACTTGAGCTTCTAGATATGTTGGCTCCATAGACCACCGATCCTTTATTCTGGAAGCTCTATGTGTCCTGTCACTTTAAGTGAGGGCCTCTTAAATGTAGGCTGTATGCCTAAAGACTAGAATACCTTTTTGTTGCCTAGGTGAAAAGGACCTGGAAAAATGACTGACAGTTTATGGAAATTATTTCCATTTTCTGAAGAGAAATGCCCCTCAGCATTTAAAAAAATCCATCCTTCAGAAGCAGAGGACTAACTTCTGCACTAGAGTTTCTATGAGGGAAGTGTGCACAGCTCCCTGCACTGGTGAGGGCACAGGGCTGGGCCCAGAGTGGGTGGGGGTGAGAACCCAGGTGACTATGCTGGAGCCTTCACTCAGCAGAACTTCTGGCAGCTTCCAGGTGGGTGGGGGCTGGCGCTGACCAAGCCACTGGGACTTCGAAGAATCCAGCATGACTTCAATATAGCAGAGGTTGTTTTCAAGTGTGACCTGAAACCTAGACGCTCTGGTGACTGCTGGATTTTCCCATCTGCCATTGTGTCACAGAATGTTCCCCATCCACCACCTGGGCCCTAGGCTGAGGCTACCATGACACAGGGCTATCACTGCCAGCTCCAAAGATTTCTGTGGATTTGGCTCCTGAAGCCAAACTTGCTCTGCAAGGCACAGGCATTTGTGGAAGTAGGAAGTATTAGTGCACATGCTTGACTCCCTCAGCGCCTCCCCTCCAGCGCTCTCCCAGCCTGGTGCTGGACCCAGCACTTCTTTTTTTCCTCCTGTTCATTCAGGAACACCAACCGCACAGTACCTCAAAGTCCTGCCCAAGCTGGTCTGCTAATGCATTTAATTATGTTGAAAGTAAAAACAGAGGTCTAAGAAAAAAAATAGCTTTGAAAGACACCAGGACAGGGCCAAGACAGCATGCTTGTTTATCCACGTCTCAGGTGACTCTGTGTGTGCGTGTGTATGTGCGTGTGTGTGTGCCCATAACCTCTGGCGTACATGTGTCCTCATTAAAACAATACACATCAGTGTCCAATCATACACATTGTCTGGACCTTTACCTGAGCACCTGTATTTGTTAGGAGGACAGAATTCCTGGTTGAATTATTTTTATGCCTTTTCCTACATGTTCTTTTTATCCTCCTGAGGATTGTGCACTCTCTTCGGGAATTCTTTCTAGATCAAGCTGCCAAAGCCCACTTCTGTGTGTACTCCAGCTGCAAGACTAACTTGCTTTCAGTTTCAAACTGTGTTGGTTCTAGCACTCCCTAGCGCCTGTTTCTCAGATGAAACTTTTTTGGGGCAGAAAAAAAGGAAAAAAGAACTAGACTCTCTTTGCTACATAAATAGATGTGACATTCAAACCCAGAGTTAAATGAAATTTCTTGAACATTAGTAGGCTTGTGCGATGACCTATGAAGTCAAAGTCACTGAAGTTTTGTTTAATTAGTTGCAAGTAGTAGTAATTCAGTGCTCTAAGGAAAAATGAAGGAAAAGAAGGAATGAAACACTGCAGTACTGGCTCCCTACTGAGATTTATGAAGGTTTTGGTGAGATCTTGAGGCCTTTCTTTACAAGGATCTGTGACTTAGGATTTTGCAACCAGCAGTTAGAAAGTAGGGAAATGTGTAGTGTGTGATGGTGTGTCTTTGAGCCAGGCACAGCATTTTTAAAAAGGCTGCCTGGCTGGGACAGCATCAAGATAAAGGAGTACTATTGATGCAATTTGAAAAGAGGCCAATGGGGTTCCCCAAAGCACTGAGAGACAGACACCATCCCATCTTTGAAAGTGACAATTACTAAGCATATATTAGGTGACAGGTGGACCTCTCTAGAACTGAAATAGTGAGACTGTGAGGGAACATATGGGTAATTGAGAGTGTGGGACATTCCAGAAGAAGACTGGAGAGAGAAGGGTTTTTGATAGAACCATAGAGCACAACCCCAGCCCTCCCGGTTTGGATAAGTGGGTTTTATGTATTAGCTGGCTCTTCTGGCTGAGAGAAAGGAGGGAGAACAGAAACCTTTGCCAAAAAGAGTTAATTTTTTTTTTTTTCAGTACTGAAGATTGAACCCAGGACCTTTGCATTGAACTTCATCCCCAGGTATTTTTAAAATTTTGTATAGGGCTGGCCTCAAACCTGAGATCCACCTGTCTCAACCTCCCAGAGCACTGGGATCACCCATCATTCCTGACTCAGAAAGGGTTTCTGACCAAGATGCAGGTCAGTCTTCAAGGAGCTGCAGAGCTGGGGTGGGGGTGGGGCTCCCTGAAAGGAGACACTGCCTACGGTCACAGCTTGAGTGGAACTGAAGAAGCACTTGGCCCATGAAACCGTTCTTCCTGCCTGCCATGCACAGGGATTCTCTTCTTTTGTAACATGATAAATTCCCCTGTAATCTCAAGATGCACGTAACAGCTTGGCCCTGGTGAGAAATGGCTGGCTTCATGTTTCCCCCCAGTATGACTTCCTGTACATACAGCGAGGGGCCTGGCCCACTCCCTGGCAAGCTTAGAAGGGAAAAACAAGGCTGATTCATGTTTGTGATTAACTTCTCACCTAATGCTGTAATCCCATATGCAGAACCAGCCTGGCTGTCGGCACTTGGCAGATATCTCAGCTCTCCAAAGGCCGAGTGGGCAGCGTAGCCTCTGTGTAGACCCAGGCTCCAGGCACCCTGCTGGAACCACCCTCTGTGGGCTGCTTCTCAAATGCCACCTCCTTTGGCACACTTTTACCTGCCACTGGATCTTTCCCTCTGTACAACCCCCACCCATGGCATTTCATTTGTACCTCTTTCTTTATTTGTGCCTCTTACTTGCTTTTCGTTCCCATACCATTATCAAAGGGTGGTAACCATGTTCTCCTCTTTAGCCTCCTCCAGTGCCAAGCCTGGTGCCCAGCACAGTGCAGCTCTGTTGATCACAATGGAGTGAGCTGAGCTGCACACGATGACCTCTCTGGCAGGACGCTGGCGTGGAGGGAAAAGAAGCCCAGAGCAAATTCCAGCCCTGGCCTGCAGCTCAGATTTGACCTCCCTCTACTTTTCTCAACACTAATCCCAGGCCCGTGTTATGATAAACTACTTGCTCCTTGTTCAGCAGTACATTCAGGAACTGGACAGCCGCCAAGGAAAACACAGGGGCAGTGGTGGACTATTGAAATAAATGAGTAGCCTATGATAAATATAGGAAAAACAGTGTTAGTTAATACACTTATGCGCCAACAAAATCACATACTATTTAATAGGGGGAGGAGTTTTAACATGAATGCGTATGGCTTTATGTAACAAGGTTGATTTAAAAAAGAAAAGACAACAAATAATCTACAACCTTTTTAGCCAAGTAAATGCTGGTTCTTCAAAGTCAGTATTAGTGTGGTGGGAAACATCAGTTGCCTAAAACAGCTCTATTATTCTTGATGGAGGTCTTCAGAGCTGGAATAGGAGGAAAATTAGATACATTACTTGATAATTTAGCTTTTTGGTTTCAAGTCCCAAATGGTATCAACCAACTTGATTACTGGCCTGGTTCACTAGACTTGGCTCTGAATTATTTTTAACAGTTTCCAGGAATTAAATCCACCTTAAAAACAAAACAAAACAAAACCAAAAAACCTCACACAAATCTTGCTATTTCTCAGGCATGAAAAAAAGGTCTTGTAAGTTCTGGTGTTCCTAAGGGAGGTTCCCAAACTCCCTTTTTCTGAGCAGGAAAAATCCCTTTGTTGACCTCACAGGTGATTTCTGCAAATGTGCAAGTTTTGATTTCTTTGTTTGAAGATCTGTCATGTCATCTTAGGCTCAGCCTTCCTCCTTATTCACACTCTGCAGACTGTCATCAGGTTTGGTCTGCACAAAATAGTTGACCTGCATCAAGGAATTTAAATTTTGAATACCAGACCAGCCATGACATTCAGATCAGTGGGAGACTTTGCAAATCAATATGCAAACCTGAGCAGCCCACATGGGTGTCTCCCCAACTGGCTCTCAGCAGGAGGCACAGGTTATGCAATAACTGAACTCAGCCTGCTTTCCTTCCAACTCAGCATAAATCGCTTGTGTGCAGGCGTGATGGTGCCAAGCCCAGCAGCGAAGGCTAATTGAGAACCTCGATGTCTGCCTTCCTGACAGTAGAAAGCTTCGACCTGCTTCCAGGTGACAGTACACACACTTCCAGCATGAACTCAAAACCCCAGCTGTCTCACCTGTAGAAAATGACATGTGCATATTACTTTTTTAATAGGATTATTTGCAAAAGATTATACACAACATAAATCTCCATCAATAGGGGCCTCGACCAATGTATTATGGAGTAGAATATATGCAGATGCATAGGTATGTGTATGCACACATTTGACAGTTAGTTTTATATGTTATTTTGGTTGATATATCCAAGGGATGTCCAAGTGGCTAGTAAAATGTTACTTCTGGATTTGTCTCAGAGAGTGTTTCTGGGAGAAAATTGCATTTGAACTGATGGACTGAGTAGGAACATCTGTCCTCACCAGTGTGGGCAGGCACATTCAAACTACTGAGGGCCTGAATAGAACAAAAAGATAGATGAAGGACAAATTTCCTTTGCTTTAGCTGGGATACACTTCTTATCTTGCCCTTAGACATTCTCGGGCCTTTGGAACTGGACTGAAAGTGCCAGATGTGGACTGGAAGTACAGCTCTTTTTTTGTTTCTTTGTTTAAGCAACATATTCTCTCGCAGTTCTGTAGGCTGGAATCTAAGATCGAGTTGTCTTCTGAGACTCCTCACCTGGGCTTGCAGATGTGGGTCTTCTCCCTGTGTCCACACTTGCTCTTCCCTCTGTGTGCCTGTGTCCTCAACTCCTCTTTTTCTCAGGGCAGTTGTCATTTTGGATTAAAGCTCACTCTAATGGCTTCATTTTAAAGGAAGTCCCTCTTTATAGGGCAAATCTCCAGAGAGAGCCACATTCTAAAGTATGAGGTTTGGGCCAGGTATTTAGCTCAGTGGTTCTGCCACCTGCCTCACAAGTGTAAGGTCCTGAGTTTGATCCCCGGTAACAAAAAAAAAATTTTTTAATAAAAAAAATAAAGTATGAGGTTTAACATCCTTTAGCTAAAATGCTTGGGATCAGAGGCATTTTGAATTTTTTTCTCAGATTTTGGAATATTTACATATATGTAATTTGATACCTTGGCGGATAGAACTCAAATCTAAACAAACGAATCTGTATCTCATGTACATCTTATGCATCCAGCCTGAATGTAACTTTATACAATATTTTCAGGGTAACTACACCTGGCCTGACCTGTCCTATGAGGTGAGGCATGGAGTGTTCTGCTTGTGGTATCACATCAGCACCCCCTAAAAATTTCAGAGCCCTTCCTGGGCCTCTAGCTCACAGATGGCAGGTGGTGGCACTTGTTGGCCTCCATAATCACACGAACCAATCTTTCATAATAAACCTCTTCCTATGTACCATATCTACGCATATCCTCTTTGTTTTTCTGAAGAATTCTGTAATACACATATATGCATAAGTTCCATGTATGCAAATATCTCCAAGAGATGTTAAGTAAAAAGGAAAGTTGAAGAATAGTATGTGTAGTATGCTACTAAGTTTTTCATATGTGTGAAAAACTCTGGAAGGATCTTCAAGAAATAAATTCTGTTGGCTTGTGGGTAAAGAAGCTCAGTGGCTGAGGGACAGACGCAGAAGAAAGATTCAGCAATTTTAAATACTACTTGAACTTGAAATCATATGAATGTATAGCCCATAAAAATAGTTGCCTTAAAAATAAATGACACATATCAATTGACAGATGAGTAGATAAATAAAATATGGTATATGTGTATGTGTGTGTGTGTGATGTGTGTGTGTTCATCCCTTTAAAAAATGAAATTCGTACATGTGCTGCAACTTGGATAAACCTTGAAGACTGTATGCTAAGTGAAATAAGGTGGATGTAAAAGGAAAAACAAGGCATGATTTCACTTACATGAGATACTTAGTAGAGTCAAATTTACAGAAACAAAGCAAAATGGTGGTTGCCAAGGCTTGAGGAAGGCAGGAATGAGGAGTTATCATTTAATGGGTAGAGAGTATTAGTTTTGCAAGATCTAAAGGATTTTGGAGATTACATGTACAATAGTGTAAATGATTTTGTCATTCTACACAAGGAACACCCTAGTTGCAGTCACCTAGAGGATGTGTTAGAGCAAGGGTCCCCAAACCCCAGGGCCACAGACTGATACTGGTCCATAGCCTGTTAGGAACTGAATCACACAGCGTGTGAGTGGCAGGAAGGGAGAAAGGCTTCATCTGTATTTACAGCCACTCCCCATCAATCACATGACCACCTGAGCTTTGCCTCTTGTCAGATCAGCAGCAGCATTAGATTCCCACAGGAGCACGAACCTTACTGTGAGCTGGGCATGTGAAAGATCTAGGTTTTTTGTTTTTTACAACAACCTAATGCCTGATGATCTGAGGTGAAGCTGAGGCAGTGATACTAGCTGAGGGAGTGCCTGCAAATGCAGACTCCTATTAGCAGCGAGGTTTGACTGCGCAGAGACCATAATAAATCAATTGCTTACAGATTGAGATCAAAATCCATCAGTGAGCAGCAAGTGACAATTAAATTGCATCTGGTGGCAGACTTTAAGTCTGCCCACTATCTTTGTTACTTGAGTCTCCATTATGGTGAGTTGTATAATCATTTCACTATATATTGCAATGTAATAATAATAGAAATAAAATGTACAATAAATGTAATAATTCTGAAACCACTCTTCCTATCCTGGTCTGTGGAAAAATTGTCTTTCAAAAAAACAATTCCTGATGCCAAAAAGGTAGGGGACTGCTGTGTTAGAGGACTTTAGGGCTCTGCTCTGCCTGGTCTTTCTGTCAGCTTTAGCAAGGCAGATTATCTGATTGCTCTCTGCTTTTGTTTTTTAATCTGAAAAATAGAAGTATGATTTTCCAGTCCTGATACTTTAATTTCATTATTGAGTATTGATGTTCCTCCACTCAGGCTCCCAGCCCTTATGATAATATCAACCCCCAGGAATTGTCTAATTTCATTTGGTGAACTTCCCCCAACCCAGGTTTTAAAGAAGCCTACTGAGATGTTATTTGGGAAATGCTTTGACCCCCTTCGTGTAAATAAGGTGAAGTAGATAGGATCCTTTTAATCACTGGGCACGCCTGCCTGCAGGTCTCTGAACGCTGCCTATGATGCTTACTCTTACACAAAGCAGAGAAGTAGAAGGCAGAGATCTCAGATCATGCTGGCCAAATGGTGATATTAGTCCTGCTGTGAAGCAGCCAATTAGTGTACTGAGCCTCCCACCAACCCCCCAGCTCTATAAGAAAAGTGGCACGGAGGTGGTAAATATGCACACACAAGAAGCTGTGGTTTGTCCTCTCCATGCCCCTGCCAAATATCTTATAACATTCGGCTCCAAACTGGCAAACCAAACAGTACATGCCATCCTCCTGGGCTCACTCTGTAGGCTACATTACACCCTGAAACCAACATCTGCTTAGTTTTAAAGTGCTTTTCATAAGCCAGCTAACTTATTCCCTGACTAGAGCTTCAAGGAGTTGTCCATGGGGTCTTCCATCTCCTCATACAGGCCCTAATTAAATGCCTCCCACTTACCTACCCACTAGCTTTCCCTCTTTAGGGCAGAGAGAATGAAGAGAAGGAGTGTCCTCTCCTCTCTTGGCCTAGATTGACCTGAGAAGGGTTTTAGGGCTAATCCTACATTGTAATTTCCCTCTACCTATCCCTCCAGCTCTCTTTTCCCCACCCACTGGTGTACCGTGCCTACTTCCCGAGTCCTCCCTTATGTTGCCCCTGCAAAGCCAGGCGCAGGTCCAATCCTCCACCAGCCAAAATCCATCTTTTCCTCCTCTGAGTTCCTATGGCATTTATAGTGAGAACCCTACAATTTCTCAAACCACTTAATTATATGCTCTGGGGTATTGCTCAGTGATTAGATCCTGCATTTGAGTCTGGCCTCCTGGGTAGATAGTGAACCCCAGCATGGCAGAATTCAGAGTTTATACATTTTCATTATACCTACAGAACCCACAGTAATATTAGTGGGGACCATTTATTAAGAACTTAGTGTTTACCAGACATGGTACTTTACATACGTTATCTATTTAATACTCTCAGTATCTTTAGGGGGGGATAGTATGCCTGCTTTTCAGATAAGAAAAACCAAAGTTCAGAGAGAATAAAGTGGTCTCAAAGCTGGTAAGGGTGGGACAGTTCCGGCCTGTGGGCCTCAAAGGCTTTAATAAAACTTTTTGACAAATACAAGAAAATGGAAGGAAAATAATTTCCTGAGATCATCCCTTTACTACTGTTCTATTAGTAAAGTAGGACTACTTTCAATCTCTAAAAACAAAACCCCATAAGTTCCACTGTAGAATTAGCTCTCCAAAGTTAATCTGTTTTGTTTACTGGTATGTCTCCAGCTCTCAGAACTGAGCCTGACTCAAAGCAAGTGCTCAAAAAAAATATTTGCTGAATGAACAAGTGAATGTAATCAATAAATCTATTGTGTGTGCCCACTAGGTATAAGGAACTGCTCATACTGCTCATACAATGAGAAAAACAATGTCAAAGATGAGGGAAGTTTGCTTGACTAGACCTCACATACTATGCTCCAGGTCTTCTCTCTGTGTCTGCAGATTCTGCATCCACGGACTCTACCAATCAGAGATCATAAATATTCCCAAAATGTTGTGTTGTTGCTGGTGTGTGCTGGGTAGTTAGGCTCATGATTATTGCATCTGTACCTAACATGCACAGACTTCTGGTTTGGGTCACCGTTTCCTGAGCAACACAGGTCTACACTGTGCTATGTATTACGTAAGCAACCTAGAGATGATTGAAAGTACATGGGAGGTGTGTGAGGGCTGGTTTTTAATATGAAACTTGAGCATTAGTGGATTTTGGTGTCTGCGAGCAGGCCCAGGAACCAGTCTCCAGTGGATACTGAGTATAGATGCTAGCAAAGGACTGTCCAGAAAGAGAAAGCCTGGGTCCCTGGCTTGAGGGCAAATCTGTCATTTTAGACTTGGGAGTACTGGGGGGTTTTCTATGCCCTGCCCATTCCTTTCCTGTGGTCCCTTCCATTGGAGCCCTCAGCCAGCCATTGCTCCTTGATTTCTCTTCAGATTGAATCTTTTGCCTTTTAGAGCAATCAGCTACCACAGCCCAGAAAAATGGAGAGCTGTGCCAAGCCCCAAGAGCAGGGCTGGCTCACAGCATCAGCAGAGACTCTTCTGGAGCTAAAGAGAGGAACCAGGGCTGAGGATTGTAGGTTCACACTCTAGGTATTCAAATAACACAGGCACACCCACAGGTGTGTGTGTGTGTGTGTGCATGAGCGCATGCTGCTCTGAAGGTTGTTACTGTAAT